CCGCCGGGAATCGCCTTCGGATCCCGGGGCCGASTTCGGATCCTTCCCTGCCCCTTCCCCGCTCCGGGAATTCCGGGAAAAAAGTCGGGAAAAGTCGGGGAAAATCCGTTTTTTTTTTTTTGTTTCTCTCCGAGAAAGTCCCGAAATCCCGAGGTTTCCTTGGAATCTTGTGCGGAGTGGGAAGAGGGAAAAAGCCGTGGGAGCCTCTCCCTGGAAAACCTGCGGGAAGAGGGGAAGCAAACGCCTGGAATTCCCGGAATTCCCAGAATTCCCGGGATTTTGCTCCTGGGAGATGCCGGGATAATCCAGGGAATCTTGACCCCAACCCGAAACATTTTGTGGATTTTTCTCCCAACACTTGAGTTTTTTCACGGCGGGAATTCGCAGGAAAACGGGGGAAAATTCCCGAATATCCCAGAATTCCAGGAATAATTCCCTTTTTTTTCCCAATATCCCAGAATTCCAGGGATAATTCCCGTTTTTTTTTTTTTCAGCGTGGGAAATTCCCGAATATCCCAGAATTCCGGGGATAATTCCCGTTGGTTTTTTTTTCCGGTGGGGGAAACTCCCGAATATCCCAGAATTCTGGGGATAATTCCCGTTTTTTTTCCGAATATCCCAGAATTCTGGGGATAATTCCCGTTTTTTTTTCCGAATATCCCAGAATTCTGGGAATAATTCCCATTTTTTTTTCCGAATATCCCAGAATTCCGGGGATAATTCCCGTTTTTTTTTTCTGGCGGTGGAAATTCCCGAATATCCCGGAATTCCGGGAATAATTCCCGTTTTTTTTCTGGCTCACCTGCGCTCACAGCGGCTCCGGGGCCGTGTCCAGGCTCGCCTCGAGGAGCAGCTCCTCCAGCTCCTGCTCCTTCCGGGAGCAGCTCAGCTCTGCGGGAACACGGAACATTCCAGAACCATTCCCGGGGAAAATTCCCAAAGAAAAAAAAAAACCCCAAACGCCAGCGGGAATTCCCGGCCGGGATGGATTCTGGGTTTTTCCCCCGATGTTTTTTCCCGGTTTTTCACCCCAATTCCTGCTGCATTCCCAGTTTTCCACCCCATGGCCACATTCCCACCTCCTCTCCCAGTTATTCCCAGTTATTCCCAGTTATTCCCAGGTATTCCCAGGTATTCCCAGTTCTTTGGCCACTTTTCCACCCCATGGGTTATTCCTGCCCCATTCCCGGTTTTTCATCCCAAAAAATGTGGTTGGAATTTTAGGGGAAGGGGTTCTGTGAGATTTCTGCCGGACCTTGGATCTGTCGGGAGCACCGCGAGGTTTTCCCGGGAATTTGGGATCTGGGAGCCCTCAGGGACCCCCCTCAGCCCGGGACCCTCGGGAATTTGGGAATTTTTGGGAATCTCACCGTGCTCGGCCCCGCGCGTTCCCGTTTTCCCGTCGCCCTCCGGGCCCGGCTCCGGCAGCGCTCGGGCGAAATCCGCCTGGAGCCCGTTGGGAAGCGGAGAATCCCGGGAAGGGCTCCCGGGACACGGAATTCCCGCGGCTCCGTTGGCCCCCGAGGGCGGGAGTTCGGGAATTGGGGCTGGAGCCGGGCTCGGGAGCTCGGGAACGGTCCCAGATCCTTCGGGAACGGTCCCAGATCCATCGGGAATGGCTCCAGATCCATCGGGAACGGCCCCGGATCCTTTGGGAACGGCCCCGGATCTGTCGGGAACGGCCTCAGATTCATTGGGAACAACTCCGGATCCATCCAGAACAGCCCCAGATCCAACGGGAACGGCCCCAAATCCATCGGGAACGGCTCCAGATCCATCGGGAATGGCCCCAGATCCGTCGGGAACTGCCCCGGATTTGTCAGGAACGGCCCCGGATCCTTTGGGAACGGCTTCAAATCTGTCGGGAACGGCCCCAGATCCGTCGGGAACAGCCCCAGATCCATCAGGAACGGCCCTGGATCCTTTGGGAACGGCCTCAAATTCATTGGGAACGGCTTCAAATCTGTCGGGAACGGCTCCGGATCCATCGGGAACGGCCCCGGATCCTTTGGGAACGGCCTCAGATCCATCAGAAATGACTCTGGATCCATCAGGAACAGCCCCGGATCCATCTGGAACAGCCCCAGATTCGTCGGGAACAGCCCCAGATTCGTCGGGAATGGCCTCGGATCCTTCTGAAAGAGCCCTGGATCCGTCGGGAATGGACCTGGATTTTTCTGGAACAGCCCCAGATTTGTCAGGAATTGCCCCGGATCCATCGGGAACAGCCCCGGATTTATCGGGAATGGCCCTGGATCCATCGGGAACGGCCCCAGATCCGTCAGGAACGGCCCCAGATTTGTCAGGAACAGTCCCAAATTTGTCAGGAATTGCCCTGGATCCATCGGGAACTGCCTCAGATTTATCAGGAACGGCTCTGGATCCATCAGGAACGGCCCCGGATTTATCGGAAACGGCCCCGGATTTATCGGGAACGGCCTCAGATTTATCGGAAACGGCCCCGGATTTATCGGGAACGGCCTCAGATTTATCGGGAACGTTTTCCACGCGCGTCACCACGAAGATCTTGTGGCCTCTGCCGGGGCTGGAGACGGAAATCCTGCGCTCGGCATTCCCGGAATTCCCGGCATTCCCAGAATTCCCGGATTCCCCGGCCGTTCCCGGCGGGATCCGCTCATCCCGAGGCCTCTCCGGAGCCTCCCTCGAGTCCTTCCCCTCCTCCTCCTCCTCCTCCT